GGCAGGACGCAGCTACTTCTTCGGCTTTTACTCGAACAGCGTGGAGCTCGGTGACACCCAAAGTGGGAAAACATGGGAAAACCATGGACACCCCACCTTGCCGATTGCTGGCGGTAATCCACAGAAACCTTTGAACCCATGACGCGTTCAACCAAAGTCGTTCAACGGCAGCGCCTCACCGCTGCAGCGGCAGTCGTTCACCGCCTTTCTTGTTCCGAAACGGGCCTTTCGGGCCGTGCAGGCGGAGATCGAATTCACCGAAGACTGGAAGGCTGACCTGGAAGCCCTTCTCCGGGATCACCAGATTCCCCTCGATGGTGAAGGCGAGGGTGGGGGTAAATGCGATGCGCGGGTTTCACGGCACGGTGGGGGAGATGTCTCGGACACAGGTCGGCTATACTATGTGGTGAACACCGTGCGGGAAATCTTGCAGGTCAAAGATTTGCAAAGCCTTCACAAGGTGAATTTTCCCTTGACGATCCACATGCAGGACTGGATGTGGATGTCAGGTTGGTGTGGCCAGGTTTGATTTGCCAGGTTTGATTTGCCAGGTGTTTTGGCTGCGCTTTTGATCCGTTTTGCAGGAAGCACCTCCACAGGTGGAAAAAGCTGACGGCTTCTACTTCTGGCAGGCCGGTCTACTCTTCCGTTTTGCCACAAAAACACCTGGGTCTTTCCGTTTGGGAAGACATTTGCGAGGTGGAGTGGGGAGCCTTGAAGGGCTCAAGCATCAGCACGAAGAAGGAAGACCAGAACGTTGATGCGCAGCCTCCAGAGGAAGAAGCTGAAGATGGTGGTGCGGTGCATCAGATGAGCCAACGGCAGATCGAACATGATGATTTGATGAAGCAATGGAGACTTGGATGAGCGATAGATATATGGTATTCGTATTTACTGATTGGCTGCCCTTCGCCCATTCTCTCATGTCTCGGCTGCCCTTGTCTCTTCATGCGGTTGTTTCAGCTCAACACGACCAGCACGGACCCTTCACGACGGAACCCCCGACGTCGGCATACGCCCCGACGATCGGAAGACGTGCCACAACCGGACGTCGGCATACCGTTGCTAGTCATATATCGTACATGAAACAACACATGGTGTCATCAATATCATATACGATTTGCAGATTTGACCGAGTATTTTTTCCAACCAAGCCAGGATTCTGAGTAGATACGGATCACGTCCAAAATACGGATCACCCAAACGCGCAAATCCAAGGAGCCAGCACAGTTTGAGAAGGACCGCGGACCAGGATCCGAAGGCTGCGAAAGGCTGGGTCGCTTTGTTCGGTCCAGAATCCTTTCTCCCAACAACCTGGCTCCCTCAGCTTTACACAGCGGTCATACGAGGACTCTGGTCTTTTGGAGTTTTTGGTCCGCAAATTCCATTGATGACCCCAACGCTTGCTTGATGAGCCGGGAGCTGCAGGAGCTCCCGGCGTTCTTTTTTGCTTCACGAGGTGCTTCACCCAAGAGTCCCGAGATCACAGGACGGGAAGACGCGACGAGCGGGAGCACGAGCACCACGTGCGCTCGACCACGTGGTCGACCAGCTCCAGAACCCCTAAACCCTAATCCCTCACCGGCGAAGCGTTCCACAATCGGGCTCCGAAAGAGTTTTTTGAATGGAACGCTTTTGGAGCCCATGGAACGGCTCCAAACACAAACTCTTGCCGAGCCCGTCGGTCCACGGGCTCCGTCTAGGTCCATGGGCTCCGTACCGTGGAACGGTCGTCCCGCCAGGACCGGCGAGTGGCTATCCGCCGGAAGCGCAGGATCCCCTCCAGAAAGCCGGGAGGCCAAGGTTACACAGAGAGGAGGAGAGGAGTGAGAGGAAAGCTTTCCTTTTGGAGGGTCTGTGTTGGTCAGAGTCAGAGTATACAATCTGGTGGAACTCCCAGTCCAATTGCGAGGAAGCGCCTACTTGGTAGAATGTTGCCCAACCACCTCACGCTGTAGGGACAGATTCAAGGCACCCGGTTGGGAGGTGCCGGAGAAATCATTATGTTTCACTTGTTTGGAGGTTTAACATGTGGGGTGGGAATTGAGGTCCTACAGGTGTGTGCATCTTAGCATCATGTTGCATCTCTTGGTCCTGCTTGTTTCAGCCGCCTGGCACCCTCCAGCCTCGAACATATGCGCAAGCTGAACATGTAGATCAACATGACAATGGGCGACGGAAGCCACGACGGATGCCATCCCATTGCTGGTAAACATGGACATCTGCGGGTTTCTGGGTCGATATTTTTTTCTGAGTCACATGTTGATCTGATCGCCAGTGGAAAAAGCCCGGCCTCAGGAAGCTGCAGAATGGCCCAAAAATTAACATGTTGATCTTGAAGCTAAGTTGCCTTTTCGTGCTTCATCCTGCTTGCAGTGGTTGGATGTTGGACCCAGACTCCAGACCCCTCTTTTCAATTCTTTTTCACCCCCAATTCAGCTGGGTCTCCGACCCCAAAAACCAACGCAGTAGCGGAAACGGCCCTGCGAGTCCGCCACCGAAGAACCTGAGGTCCTGGACCGCTTCACCTCCACGGGACACGTGTGGACACCCGGCCGTTCGCCTCCACCTCGGGTGGTTCAAGCGGTCGGGCCCTCCCGTCAGTGGCAGGTCCTCGTGATGACGTTCTGACGTTCCAGACTTGGCAAAAAGAAGTCTGGTGGAAAACTCCAAGCCTGCTACCATGATTTACTATGCAGCTACACTGCGTCTCACTTTTGGTGGAGTCTCCTGCTACCGGGTGGGGCCGGGGTCCGGCCAGTCCGTGCGGGCCCAACCGTGTGGCCCACCCACGGTGAACCGGGTGCCTGACGGTGCCCGATGAGCCAAGCCAATGAGGTTCGCAACCAAGCGACGGGGGGAGCCTTGGCACAGGCGGCAGCTCAGGCAGGTGTCCCATCCAGACGGGTGAGACGGGTCACGCAGCAGATGTGGCAGCTGACTTGAGTTTTTTTGCTGGCCCCAGAGGTGCTTGATTTGTATACATATCTAGTATGTTGATATGAATTGATATGAACACATATGAAGCGAACTTGGTAACCGTGCAATCTTTGGGACCACATCTTTTGTCTGAAACGATCGACTCCCACTGCAAAGTTGAGAAAGTAATTCATGACTTTATATCATTTGATGAGCTCATGATGCAGTCAGGACATTGTGAAAACAACCCGTGAGTGATGGCGAGTCAACAAAGGGCTTCTTCGTGTCCCAGTCCCAGGCTTCCATCTATGTTCCAGAACTACAGGAGCAGCTCTACGAGGACGAACGTCGACAGCTCGCGCCGTCGGTGCCAGAGAAGCGTGTCATGCAAAAGCCAAATGGCCAAAAGCAAGGGAGATCTGGCTGAAAACTGAAAATACAGATTGATGAAAATGACAATCCAATCTCAAATGACCACCACCACCACCACCACCACCACCACCTCCACGGGCCCTGGGTTGGTCCGGTCAGACGTGGGGTGCGACTGGGAATTCTTTTCACTTGGTGAAGGGGAGGCGTTGAGACATACTATTTTTTCCTTGTTTTGCTAGTTTTTTAAACATATTATTTCTATTTTTTATTGCACTTTCACTTTCCTTTGCCAGAACATGATGGCGCCGGATGATGGCCAAGTGCTTAGTTGGAAGAATCGGCATGGGTCCCGTTTGGCAGGATAGTTCCCATCTGGGTTGGCGTGAGCGACATCAGTTCCGTGTGAGCACACTTGGAACATTTTGATCAACCATGATCTGCTGATTTTTGCACAAGTATTCTTGATTCAGGTTGTCAAATTGGAAAGGCCTTGGAGTGTAGACTTGCCTACGATTAACATTGCATGTTCACCTGCATGTTTTGAGGGACCACAGTGCGAAGTTCAGAAAATTGAATGTGCTGAGGATGGCTAGAAGTGGAATCTCCATCGGGCAGGATATACTACTGGAACCAGCCGCTTAGTTCATCTTGGCCTGTGATGTTCACTGGTGTTTCATGTGTTTTGGATCTGTCTAAGTCACTTGCGACGCCAAAACACCTCGTGACTGTCTCAGGTTTACCCAGGAGGAGTGCCTGGGCGGCAACGGACCGGATAGGTCTCCATTGGAGCCCAGTGGGAGGTCAGTGAAGGTCTCGCAGAAGTGTTCTTTTCTGTGAGATCTTTCAAAACTGAATTTGAGAACTGTACGAACATGTCATGGTAGTTGTTCAATTGGGAATTTCTTTTTCTGTCGGCAACCAGGTGGGAGCCAGAGCCGTCATAAGCCCAGCAAATTGGCGCCTGCCCTGAGTGATGCGGCCAGTGATGGGAAGTCAACATGGCTGTTGATCAATTCTACGAACGTTTCTGGACAGTTGTACATGGGTTTTGTCTCAATGAGAAGAGACCCCTCGTACAATGATCGGGTTCTATATAGACATTCTACACTTCTGACCTTTCTTTCCCCGCACACTGGGTACCCTGGGGGGGGCTCCAAGACACAAGATACTCAAATGCCACACGTGCACGAACAAAGGCAGGACTTTAGCAAAGCTAGAGTTCTGCAGGTCTCACTCTTAGCGTCTCACATAGTTCGTGTGTCGAACACGGCCACCACGCATGCCATTCTTCTCACGTCGAGCGACGCGAGACGTGAGAAGGCGCGTTCTTCGACGGCCGATGGCTGTTAACGAACTGGGCACTTCTCTTGGGCCCATTGTAAATGATGTATGTCTCACGGCAAAAGTGCGAACAGCTCGCTTGAGCCTGATGTGGCAAGAATGTGAAGAGCGATGGCCTCCAACCTAATAGCGATGGCCTCCAACCTAAGAGAGAAGACTCCAACCCAAGAGCGATGGCCTCCAGCCTAAGAGCGATGGCCTCCGCCCTAAATGCCAAGAATGTGCTCTGGCTTTTCATTCGCTGTTTTGCGCTGCCGCCTGCTAGCTTCGCCCGTACTTTCCCGCACCAAAGAACAACAAGAGAACTTCACATCCAAAAGAGTGAACTATCGATGGACATGTCTCCAAGCAATCATCGATTGTCTGTACCCATCCCTAGAAGGTTCGGAAGGTTCGGCGCCATGTCATCCAAAGAACGTGCTGGAGGAGCAGAGCTGCCAAGCTACCTGAAGGTGGTCAAGCAGCCGGTGCTCTTAGAGTGTCGAGATGTGTGAAGCTGCCACTGCCGCTGTTTTCCAAAGAAGCCACCAACGTGAGGTTTTGGAAAGCACCAATGTAAGGGACAGTCAAGGGATGGACCTGGACCATGCGGAGTGGCTTGGAAGGTATTGCTTGTATCACAGCTGCAGGCTGGGACGTGGCGCCTATGGGACCGTCTACCTTTGTGAGGACAAGAAATCGGGTGAGCAGGCGCCGAGGGGAAACGCTGAAACGGTGATATCTGGAAGCTCAAGACGATCTGGATGGTGACCGATTGGATCCGATTCATCTTTTTGACCATGGACCCCATGATTGTTTATTTTCATATAGTTTTTTCAACAAATCTCCATCGGGTCCGGGAGGAATCTTATTTGACCCTCCCTCCACGCAGTCCACCTGGTTCGCATTACAGCAGGTGGCTGTGAAGCAGGTGAAACAAGCGGCACGGCATGGGAAAAGTATGCTGCGGGAGGCGGGACTGGTCTGCTCATTTTTTGGGCCGTTCAGGTCGAGGTTGGCAACGGGTGCATATTCGCCGCGGCACTTGTGGCACGGTGTGTAATTTTTGATCAGTCTCCACGGTGGATCAAATCTATTTGGCCCAGATATGTTAGAAAGCAGATGAAGAATCTCTATATATATAATATATATATATATATGTATAGCCTAGCTGTATTTTCTTTTGAACTGCAAACAAGATAGTAGACTTGGAGATTTTGCGACAACTGCAGAGCCATCAGCAAAACCAGTGCCGCTTCAAAACTTTAGAATGTGGAACATGACACACACACACACACACTCACACCCCTGAGAGCATCCATGGCCATACCACACTCACATTTGTCCCCTGAATGAAGCCTGCAATTCCGCGACTCGTCCAGATCCGGCTGCTGGCACGCTTGCGCCACGAGAATCTCCTGTTCCTTCTGGACTTTCCTGCTGACGCTTTGACTGAATTTACAGTAGTGCGTTTTTTGAGTGGCCTTGTGTAGCTCTTTATCTTGAAGCGCACTTCGTTTTTCAACTGTTTGGGGCTTTGCTTAGATCTTTTCGGATTTGCATTCTTTTGTTTTTCCTAGACCTTTGAATAGTCGGAGACAGCTCCAAAGCTGTCTACTGCTCTTCCCCCAGTTGCCACCTGGCCCCGTCTGGTCGGTCCCCGCTTTGGGAACCAAACGAGCGACGTCCGAAGAAGAGATGTTCAAAGAGACGCCTGAGGTTTCATCTCCAAACTTTGAGGATATCTATCTCGTCCTGCCGTGAGCCGTTTTTTGTTTTTCTTCGTGTTTTTCCGCGGATTGGATGCCCCCAAAAGGGTCCATTCCAGTCCTCCAAGGAAGTCTCCAGTCGTTTGGCTGGTTTTAGCCCGTTTTTGGTTTTGGCCCTCCAAGGTCTCGGTCTCGTGTGTTTTTGGTCCGGGGAGGTGGGCACACCGCGCGCAAGTCCGTCCGTCCGATGCGGAGGTACCTGGCTGCGGATCTCCACAAGATTATCCAGTCACAGCAGGCTCCGATGGCGTTCTGTTCGCAGCATCGGTGACATCGGACGACCGGGGCGAGTTTCCGTGGGGCGGAGGTCATGAATACACCAAGGTTTGGGCAGGAACCTGGGGGATGACAGCTGGGGCGTGTTGATTCCAAACAGCTGGTGTCGCACCGGTCGCACCGTTCCCGCATAGCCTGAAAAACCCGGCAGACTCCAGCCTTGGACCGAAAGCTCAGAGAATAACAGCATCTTCTATTTGGTCGTGCTTCTGTGGTTTGGTCATGGGGAAGAGATCAGCTCTCGACCAACGACCCATATGCGACCACTCCACGCTCGTGGAGCAGCTCCTACACGCTTGCGTCTGATACCGCTGCGGCGCGCGTCGAAGGCGTCGCCTCCGTTCGTGCGTCGCATCCGTCGCATCCGCGAGTTGTGACGAGGCCCTGACCGAGAAGCATGTGCAGGTCATCTTGGTTCAGGCGTGGCTCGCGGTTGGGGCCCCATTTGGGACGCCACTGTTTGGGGCGGAACATGCTGGGAGCCATATCACCTGCGAAAACAAAACAGACATAAACACAAACACATGCACACACACACAGACACACCTCAAAGAAACTAAGCAAACCAAGTGCAGACATCCAATGAGACATGACATAATCATCAAAGAAGCCGCCAAGGTACCTTCTATATTTCCCCATCGGAGGCGGTAAAGACCAAGTCCCCCACGGCCTTTTTGAAGCCCATGGGCCATCTTGAGACAACAGGTCTCCGGAGGGTTTTTTGTTCTGTCTTCTCTTGCGGGTGTATTGGGTTCGGGATTGCCCCCTCTTAGAAGACCAAGCCTTTCTGGCACCAAACCCGACAAGCCACAAAGTCTCCCCAGCCACCGCCGGTGTTGGTTGTTAAGCCAGATTTTACGAGCCATGGAGTACCTCCATGCCAGTGGCGTACGGAACTGAGGTGTTTTTTTGTCAGAACTCAGCGCACTCCACAGGATTCCAAAGGAAGTCAGCGTTGGCGTAGTGAGCTCAGGTGGCTCATCGCGATTTGAAGCCGGCGAATATTCTGCTCTCCTCAGATTGCAAGCTGAAGGTCAGAAGCTCAGTTGGCCTGCCATTGTCGGCCGATGTGGGGGGTAGAGCGGGCGAATTGAACCGGACTTCAAATCCACTTACATTGATCTCAGTATTTTTGTTGCTTTCTGGTCTTCCCTCAGACGCTCCGTGTCGAGGTCTGTGACTTTGGGCTGGCCAGGGGAGGCCTCGGCGAGAGCGACGAGCCGGAAGAGGCGTCCCGGCTCGGAGAGGACTGGAGCTTCACCCGTGGGGACTCCGGGCAAACACCCACGACCGCGCCATGCTCCTTACGACCGACGAACGGACGCGACGAACGGAACAAAGGGCATCGCCGCATCGCTCGGAGCGATCGGTTGCTCCTGGCATTGCCAGGAACAAGAAGCTACTAGTAGCCAGGACGCCGCTCCTGTCAAGACCGGTGCCTCCCCACGACCATGCCATGACCGTGCCTGTTTCGCGACTCAGGCGTGCGGCGTCTTGACGGAATACGTGGTCACGCGCTGGTACCGAGCCCCTGAGGCCGATGGACACCCGGTGGACACCGGCCGCGACCGGCCCGAAACGTGCGTCACTGTGCTACTCGTGGGGTCGCCGCACAAACGTGCGGCGGTGAAGGGGAAGAGGCAGAGTTTCGGGAGATTTGAGGGCATGGAAGGGGCAAGTGCATCGCTACTAGAAACAAGGGCATTACTACTAGTAGCAAATAGCTACTGGTAGCTTATAGCTACTATAGTAGTAATGCACTCGTTACTAGTAGCGATGCACTTGTTACTGGAGTGTCCAATTATGGACCTGGCACCCAAGATGATACTCGGCCCCTGAAAGCTTCTGTGAAATCGACGCCAGGTAATGTTGCTTCCAAAGCAATATTCGACAGCGGTGGACATTTGGTCCGTGGAAGGCTCAGCACTTTCCATTGCGGCGAATCTGCAGGCCCATTGGATGCTTTGACAAGACCTGCCTTAACCATGAACGAAAAGTGAGGCCATGCTGAAGGCCTGAAACACGTGAGACGGAGAAAAGAAGCGAACATGGATGCTTTGACCCTTTTGTTCCAGACATGGGGTGCGGTCACTCCTGCCGGTGATGAGACACGATTTTTGGGAATCCATTCTCAAGGCACTAGGGAATCAATCTACTCAAAGATGTATCAGCTTAGCAGCTTCTCTATTCCTTTGTGTGTGAATCATGCGTTGCCGATGAGGTTGGCTGTATCCTTGGGGAGATTCTGGGAAGGAAGGCACATTGCTTGGGATCGCGGCATTGGAACTCAGTGTCTCAGTGGAAGTGCATCCATTCGCCAGTTGCAAAAGTTGCGGTTCTCATAGGTCATAGGTACGGTACATGTTTTTGTGTTTGTTTGTATATTATATATATATACATGTACATAATATATGTGTAGGTATTCACAGGTCAGGATTCCCCTGTGGAGAAGTCGTAGGTGGCTGCATTTCTCATCTTCATACTTGATGTCATTGCTCACGCTGCGGCAGCTTTTGCTGGTATGACATGGGCAAAGCACATTGCAGAACGACAGCTGGACGTCAGAGGTATCCAACCCGCATGAGAACTGAAACAGAACATGCAGGAAGCGACTGAAAACTTGGTAGAACCATTCAAGGTCCTGTTCTGACATCGTTTCTGGCCAACCCCCACAGAACTTTCCGTATTCTTGGTTTCTACATCCAAAAGAGCATTAGTTCTTTCTTGAAAAGTGAACTGAGCCACCATGATGAGACTCCGCGACAACATGATACGAGCGGCCATACGACAATTTTGTTGCTGCTGCTGTGTACAAGCCCTAGCTTTCACCTCGTTCGCCAACGCTTTACTCTGAAACAGAGCTAACCTCATGGGTAATACACAGAGCTAACCTCAACCATAAGGAAAACTGCCGTTTCAAGAGGTTCAACCTTTAACCAATTCATCTCGTTTCCTGAAACACCCGAATCTTCCGCCCCATCTTTTTAAGGCAAAGAAGGTGACGGGATGTGTGGACCTATCTCAGGAGGCGAGAACGGTGACGTGATGAGATGATGTGATGTTTTCGGTTCCAGGTTGCCTGTCCACTTGGTGCGAGAAAAACCAACATGTGTGTTATTTTAATTCGATGTCCCACGTTGAAGCTCAGGGGCGTTCGTCTCGTTCACGAGAACCGCAGGCAAAGGAAGATGCTGCCGTGTTCGTTGGGAAACCAATTGAGGCTGGGTTGGGGCAGCATTCTGCTGCAAGTTCATCTGCAGATATCATCCACATGACAACCACCTGGTGCCCCATGGCTCCCAGTGCACCGCCAGGAATTAGAGGCCAACCAGACAGAGAAAGAGCCTCGAGACAAAGTCCAGGCGCAGTTCCGTTTGCTTTGTCAAACCGTCACACCACTTGGAACCTGCATGTTGTGAGCGGCGTGGAAGTCAAAGCCCGAAACATGCAAAGTTCATGTGAAGATGAACATGATCGACCATGAACATGGTGAGAATACTACAAAATAGTATATATATATATGCACACGCATAAACATACTGTGTATCTACATAAACATACTGTGACATCCTAGGCGGCAGCCCGACGGCTCTGCTACCAATCTGAATGATACACCCTGTGTGATCTACCTCCTAAGTGATCCTACACTCGCGGTCCTTTGTGTCCTTGGCTTGGTCCAGCTTGAGCCACCGTTTTACGAGCATTCATGCAGCTGATGGACCATGTTCATGCATTGAACATTGACAATATATATATATATATAATGTATATGTTTATGTATATGTATGACCCGTTTAGAACAATTCTGCCAACTGCCAGGAAGAGCCTCAAGTCCCAGGAGTGGTCCCGGCCGAATCCGTGGAGAGCCTCGCGGCGCCTCGCGGCTCCGATCGGCTTCCCGTGCTGGAGCTGCCAGGCCGACCGCATCGATCGGTCAAACGTGACCGGCCCGGCCCATCACTGGGTAGACCAAGGTCTCCCTATCCGAAGCATCCACGAAGGTCGTTGCCTAGGAGGTCTCCCTATTTTCATGCGCATGCAAGTGTGGCGTGTTCTGAGATGATCAAATAACATATTCTCAGACATATCCAAAGAAAACTCCAAAAGGTTTTGAGAACATCTGCAAAGAACAATCCATATTGTCAGACTCCAACGATCCACAAGATGCTGTTTGAGAACAATCCACATGTTGACCTGTCAGATGGTGATGCCTGCGGCCTTCAGATCTTCGAGCTCTTGGGAAGAGGTCGCCTGATGCCTGCCACGCCGGAGGAACCGGCGTTCCGTTAACGTTCAAAAGAACGTCCCCAGAGAAATTATCTGAATCAATTTGACTTGTACCATCAAGTAGTTTTCACGCAGAGACCCTTGGATTCAAGACCACTCCACTGATTACACGGACTTTTGCCCACGAAAGTATCTGACACGGTGCCAGCAGCTGCAGGTGCCAGCGGCTGCCGCGTCCATCGCTGTCAGGTGCCCTGAGCGGGCACGCGAACACAAACCGAGCACGAATGTGACTCCGGCGACACGGCGACACGGAGAGACCGTTTGGTTTCTTATTAGTTTTCAAAGAACATGTTCGCAGACATCGTGCATTTTCATCTTGAAATTCATATGTTCACAGCAGATTCAAAAACACATTTCATTATGATTAGTTGTGTCCCATGATCAGTAACAGTCGATAACGATTGTATTTGGGAGACGGTTTTACTAACCATCATCCACTGTTACTGGCAATTGAACACACGAGAGCAAGAAAAGCAAGACTAGTCAGAATAGTAAAAATAACAATCATAATTCATAGTAGTAAGAATTATCCAACATCTTCATCCTCATCAAAATGGCCGAGCCGAGCTGCTCAGTGCAGGAGGGTGGCCGGATCATGGCCGGCAAGGTGTTACCCTTGGGACCCGCCACCTTCCCCGACATGGTGGAGGACCAGCATATGAAGTCATTAGAGCAACAACTTATTAGAGTCATGATAGTCATCTCAAGCAACAAGTTGTGCCTTGAAATATCTTGAAATTCACGTCCACGCTGTGCCTGATAGTCATTTGGTGTTGTGTCCTTGCGAGGACTTGGAGAATGAATTATCGGTCTTGAAAGTCGTCGGAGAGCACGCTGGCTGTTGTATTACAGTGGAGGAAGGAGGAATCAAAGAGGTATAAAATGCTGAATTGAGGTATCAACATGCTGAATTCAAGTCTTTGTGACAGCGATTGGGATTTCGGGATTTCTCTCTTTTGTGCTTCGAACGTCACTCTTCTTTCCTGGGTGTCCAGGCATCCGGCGTTGGTGTCATTTTTGGGCGCTTGGAGCACAAAGCGCTTCGTCCTGGACAAGCAGGAGCAGAAGGCTGAAACAAACGAGGGCCGAAACGAACGAGCAACACCTTCAGCATGTTTTGAGAACTCTGTTCATCCTTCCTCTCACTTTCCTCGCAATACGGATCTTTGGCTCTTAAATCTACCTCTGGCGTGCAAGGCCTATGTCGTAGGCATTGAGTTGTGTGGCACGAATCTCGAAGATGTGCTGCAAAAGCGCAAGGAAATGCACCTGGGACAGAAGAAAAGACAGTCTACAGACCCATTGAATCATATTGAATCATTGTTCGTTGAAAAAACATGGCTCTGATGCTGCAAGAAATTCAGGCTTTGCTCACCACCCTGTGGTACCATGATCCTGAGGCAGAAACCTTTGGAGCAGTCCGAGATGCTGCCGATTTTGAATCAGGCCAGAGGAGACGGGCTTTAGTACAGGTGAGTACAGAGATAAGGGAGATACGGATAGATATGTGTGTGTATTCAGAAACGGAGATCCCCCACCAATGCATTTTGGTCTACTTTCCTTCTTCAAGAAGGGGTTTGTCGGGGTTCTCCTTATGAAAATGCTCCCATACTGGAAGCACTGTCACACAAGTCCAGACGATTCCATGATTAGAATGCTCAGATGACGGAGGATTCTGATGGTGTTTTGAAGCATGACGGTTTTGAGGGGAGCAAGTCAAAATGCAGGATAAAGAGTTTCGCCTGAAGACGCATGAAACACATGAAGTGAATCGACAGCAAGATTAGACAAAGCAAAGCTTTAGAACCTCGGAATTGAAAGTTCCTTTCAAGATTTGAGCCAGAGTTTCTTTTTTGAGGACATTTTGAGCCTTGTAGAAGGACTAAAATTCTGTCGAGAAGCTAACTATAGCCTAGTAGCTTACCTCCTTTCTTCATTAAGTAGGAGCGGGCAAAAAAAGGAAAGAAACACAGAAGAAGGAAGAACGAAGATATATTATATAAATTATATAGTATTGGAGGTTTTACACAACCGTTACTTGGCGCTTTGCATGCCTCACGGCGCGAAGCCTTTGGCCCAAGAGGCCTTTTTTCGAGTTCGTTGGCGGCTCGCGCCATGGCTCGATGGGGGCTTTTTGCGGTGGGCCTCATGTGGTCCGCAGGCCCCATCGATGGCTGGTGGCAGGCGGTTGAGGAGGAGGCGACAGATCCTCCCAACGCCTCTTGCTGGGACCACCCAGTCAGCTGCCTTCAGCGGCAGGTGAATGCCACGGTGGCTGCTGCCCAGGCGCAGTACTCCACCCTGACGACCTGGGATAGCCTAGCCTGGACGCTCCTGGACACGTTGCTGTCGGGCGTGGGCTGGCTGGTGTTTGGCCAGAGCTGGGCCAGCGTCCGGACGGGGTGCTCGATGATCCTGAAGATCGCGCTGCTGATGGTGGTTTGCGTGGGGCTCCACTATTTCCTGTCCCTAGCCTGGCCGCTCTGCTCCTTGGTGATCGGGACTATCCTGACCGCAGTGTGGATAGTCCGGGCCCTGGTCAGGTGCTGCGGACGGGCTGCTTTCTACGCCCAGCGGATGTCAGGAGGAGTCCCGGAGGTGACGGGAGCAACCTTCATTGGACCGGACACCGGCGAGATCCCGGAGACGGCCGACCTCCGCAAGATGAAGAAGGGCACGAATGAAGAGCGGTGGGTCCTCCTCAAGCGGGACGGTTATGTGGTCATCATTAAGGTCACCGAGAATGCCGCGATCAAGTCGAGTGGCATGTACCTGAATTTTGACCCTGAGGCAACCAGAGGTGACGCCCAACTGTTGCTGGCCTTGAAGGGTTACGAACGGGTGCATCTATGCAGGCACGACACGTGCCCGGAAGAGGGCCAGCATTTCAAGAGCTATGCCTTGGCCCGCCAACTCAATCCCGAGCGCTTCCACCTTATGTCTACCGCGGCTGGGGCCCAGAAGACA